GTTTTTTTTGCTTATTATAACTATATTTTCCTAAAACTAATTCCACTTAATTCCTTTTGTTTTCCTTTTAGATCAGCTTTGTTATGTATTGTCATATTCCTCCCCAGCTTGAACCTAAGTAAAAGCAGTGCAGTGGAAATCTCCTTCCACTGCTTTCCATGAATCTCGTCCTGAGACAGTTCCCTGTCACACTGTTTTTTAAGTCTTATAAAAAAACATAACTTCAGAAACTGGATTATTAAAGTATTGTTTTAATGAAATGGTGATGAGGAAGGTTACCACATCACTACCTTTTAATTCTGTCAGTTTATTCAGTTCTGGAAAACGGTGGATATATATGATGGGGTTCAGCTTCTGGTCGGAAAAGGCCACCACTTCACTGCTGGCATTTGCTGCAAAGGCTCCCACTGGGCCCGTTTGACACTGTAGTGCTGTTGTCTTCTTTGTTTCAATGTCCAGGAAGAGGATGTAATTACCACAGGGGTAGCAGACAGTTTGATTGTTGATAAAGCCAAAGCTCTTGTTTGAGAATCCCTGAACCCAGCTGGAAATAGAGCAACGGAACATTAAAACATTAATCAATGACACACATTTCTCAAAATGCTGTGCTAAAGGGAATGTTGTAGCCTAAGTTACATTGAACTCATGCTTGGGATTTGTAAGACTCATCCTCACAACAGTGTTGCAAAACCACAATAACTTCAAGATCTTGCATTATGAGTCACTAGTTCAGTGTTTTCAAAAACATAGGGTCAATCTTACCCTGATGAAGCACAACAGACTAGTGTAAGAATATGGAGAAACGCTTGTATTTCTTCCAGTTTTCACTAAAAATAAAATTAGTTCACAGACTCTGGTCTTGTACTCATATATCACAGTAAAGCATATACCCCTATTCTGAAAGAACTGCAGAGCTACAGTTTGTACTTGGGACCCTGTTGTGTTTGCTTAACCTTTTTACACTTTCATAGTTCATCTCATCCCCATAAAATAAAAAAAATACGAAGGCACAGCTTGTGTTTATATGAACCCAACCAGAAGGACTGTTCTGCTTTAAAGACACCAGTATTTTAACATGGCAAAACTCTGGAATGTAAACAGGATGTGTTACACAAGGACTGAAATAAATTACTGAAGCGGAGTCAGCTTATGAACTTACAACATGTCAACAAATTCATAACTACCTGCAGATGTTTTTACCTTTCAGAAATCCTGTGGATAAACATCAAGGTCCTCTTATCAAAGGGATTTATCACTAAGTGAGGATGTCAGTTTAGCCTGCTAGTACCACGCCAGGAAAGTTCCAGCAGTGTAACAGGCACCCTCTGTGCACAACACTGCTGTTACCACTTTCTCTTCTAATTTCCATCTCTGCTCTTCTTCCAAATAAGAGCATTTGACTGGGAGAGACCTTTGTTCTCTGCAATTGCTAGAAGCACTTTTATGCTCCTTTCATGAACATAAGTCAACCATAAGATCAGCTCAGCTGCTGATCCTTTGTACTCAGAAGATGGTACTACAGCCTCGGCACTCTCATACTTACAAACATATTAAAATTACTAGTCTTGAGATATTTATGTCCAGCAATAACTTCTTGTTATCTTTTCTGAGGACCTTCTGCTCTTGGCTTCTTTTGCTACACGCAAGGGGGAAATGGGAGCACGTGTTTTCTTCCCCTCTCCACCCGCGCTGCCCTGACAGATCCCACCACCGCGGGGCCCCTGTGGAGGCTGTGCCGGCCGCCCCCACCTCACTTCCAGCGCGGCCTCTTCGGCCGGGAGCTCCCGGCCGGGGCCCGACCCCGCCGCCATCGCCCCCGACGCCGCTGCCGCCCGTGCCTTGGCAACAGCAACGGCGTCTGCCATTGGCCAGGCTCGGAGCGCACACCTGATTGGCCCACGCTCGTGCACCACCCAATCACTGAGCGCGGGCGGGTATTTAAAGGGCCTGCAAGACAGCAGAAGGTACTTCTGATCCTGGCCCAGTGACGGTGGGTTCCTTCTCTCGGTCACCCTGCGTGTCCCTGCTCCTGGGCCGGTGTCATCTGCCCTTCTGTTAGTGGGACAGTTGAACTGTTCTTCTGTCACCTCTTATGCCTTTCCTGGTGGACTTGTTTATGAGGAACACCTCCTTCCTTGGAGGTATGTACGAGTTATCTGGATCTAGTGCTGGATTTAGAGGCTTAGGGGCTACAGTGGTCATCATCATGGCTAGGCTTCGCAAATGAAGATTTGAGAAGGACTCTACCCACGCTTGCTGCAAATGCACTGATGGCTAAAAAGGCCAATGCGAGATAGACAAGTCTGGTTGCAAAAGGCACAGTGGAAAGTCTCCTTAGGCGGTATTGGCAAGACACGATTTTTTCTGCATTGTTTTTTCTCCTCAAGAATGATTCTGCGTGCGTTCTCAAAAGAAGCGCAGCGTTATGTATAGTGTATCTCTATGTCTCCTGATTGGAGGCCAGAATAGACCAATGATGATGATCAATAATGGCCAAAACTGAGATATTGTTTCAGGGAGTCCTTGTATCTCCTCTTTGGGGCTCCTCTCTTGCAGCAGCCAGTGGCAAGTTCACAATAGAGCACAAGCTTGTGGTCCTTCATCCTGGAGATGTGCCCCGCCCAACACAGCTGTGTTCTCAGCAACATGGCCTCAATACTCATAACTGCTGCCTGTTCAAGGACAGATGCATTAGTCACGTAATCAGTCCAGTGGACGTTCAGGATTGTACGGAGGCAGCACTAATGGAAGCATTCTAAGAGTTGCAAGTGGTGGCGGTAGATAATTCAGATCCATATAAAAGAGTAGACAGTACAATGGCTCTGTAAACACTAACCTTTGTACTTTTCTTCAGGTGTTTATTACACCAAACTCTTTTATGGAATTTCCCGAAAGCACTATATGCCTTTGCTAACCTGTTGTCTACCTCTTTGTCAGTCTTACCATCCGAGGAGATGATGCTTCCCAGATAATTAAACTGCGGGACTGACTTGAGCTCTGGTGATATGGGGATGATGGAAGACTTCCTGAGGTGCAGGTTGGTAGAAAACTTGTCCTCTTCAAGCTGACTTCCAGCCCAAAAAGCTCAGCAGCCTCTGCAAAGCAGGATGTTAAACGCTGCAGAGCTGCTTCTGTGTGGGCAACTAGGGCGGCATCAGCAAAAAGCAGCTCATGGACAAGATGATTTAGAGTCTTAGTATGAGCCTTCAGTAGCCTTAGGTTGAATAGGCTTCCATTGGTATGATATCGGATGTAGATACCATTTTCTACTACAGTGGTAGTGCTGGGTGAAAAGTTGGATTTGATGATATTAGATGTTTCTTCCAACCTTAATGATTCTATAAGGTACTACAGTTCTTGGACTCTGTAAGATGGGGCTTCTGAAGCTTCAGAGAGCTGAGAAGTGTGCTGGAAAAAAAAGGGGAAGTACAGCTGTGGTCTTTCCCTGTGTACTTGTGGCTTCTAGCCTGGTAATACTTTAAGAACCTTCAAACATTTAAAAAGCAGATTTAACAAAATCTTCTTTTCCCTTTCCTAAGGGAAGAATGTAATTTATAGTGTCTTGCTTGCTTGTGTTAGCTTGCTGTTACTTAGCTGTACAGTGGCAGCATGCAGTTTTGTAATACTGCTGTGTACTCACAGTGCTGTAGAGCAACAGTGGAGCATGACATTCCTGTCCAGAGGCAGCAGGACAAGCCTATTCCTTACCTTTTGTCTCCACAGCTGCTTTGTGTGCCACACAGAACCAGGAGAGAATGAGGAAGTAGGTTTATTTTCTCTGGTGCCTCTGAGGGCCTATTGTAGCATGTGGGTGTTGTAATGCTACTCTGGTTTCCCATGTGCCTGTGTCCAGGTTGTGAGTCAACAGACTGCTTGTGTATTTCTTAATTGCTATGAGAAATTTCAAATTAATTTTCTCTTTTTTTTCACCCAAAATTTTGCTGAATCTTTCTTAAGGATAGGTACTCAGAGGAACCAAAAGTCACTAACAGGCAAAACTTCCCCACTGTACAAGTACAGATCCACTGATGAGACTGGAGAATCCCCAGTCCCTCTATTAGCCTTGGGGGTTTGACAGGGATGTGTACATTGCCAGGAAGGCCAGGACTCCCTCTCCCTTTGGCGAGGGCTGCCCCAGCCCTCTGGTCCCTACAAATGTGCTGTTTCCTAATAACAAAGAGCTCTGACCTGAAGATTAGGTGAAAGTGTGTGGAGCCCCAGGAAAGGAATCACTTTACTTCTCTGGTTATATATCAACTTGGACACTGCGTGTAAAACAATGGCATTAAGAGGAAAGCTCCTCGACTTCCACTGTTGTACCCCAGGAAAAGACGGTATAAGGAAGGCCCTGGTGTGCTCATCTCAACCAAAGAGGGAGCAAAAGGATGATGAGCACTCCAGTCTGCGCTTTGGTTCTTTTTTTTGCTCTATGCACACACTGATGCTCCCAACAGGCCCCGTTTGCAGAACAAGCATGAATCCCTCTATGACTGCAAGGTAGTAACAAAGGTAAATCTAACTTTTGCTGTGCCCCCTTGTCCGTTGGGTTATCTACTGTCTCCCCTTGTGTTTTCACCATGAAGCAGAATAGCTGCAGGAAAGAGAAGTCCTCCTTGTTACTGTGGGTTTTGCAGGGCAGTAGGTGATGGAGGACTGCCGTAGCAGGAGGAGGCAATGAGGAGAGCCTGGTGCCTCGTCAGCTGCTGGGGGCACTGCTTATAAACAAACACCTGGCCTGCGGGGTGGAGTTCGGCCGTGGGTGTCCCACTTACACGGGGGCGCCAGCGGGCTGGTTGTGCTGAGGGTATAACCACAGGGAGGGAGCACGGAGAGCAGCTTGACAGTGCCTGTCCCAGCTGGGTGGTAAGGGCGGTCAGATCAACGAGAGACCACTGGGCAATTGTGGGCCGGGCCGGGCCGGACCCCCGGGGTGAGAGGGAAGGAGGGAGGCGGGCCCTGACCCCCGCCCCGCTGAGGGCGGTGGCTCCGGCCCGCCCCGGGGCCGCCCTCCGCGGGCGGGGCCGGCGGCGCTGGGGCGAGAGAGGCACGGTGGGAGGAGGCGGATCGCGACACATCGCAGCGTATCGAGATGGCGAACGATCGCTCCCGCAGCCTGGGCAAGGGTGAGCGGCGCGGTGCCGGGGCTGTGGGGGGCGCGGGGTGAGTGCCGGCGCTAACACCCCTCTCCCCGCAGGTAGCGCGGCGCCGGGGCCCGTGCCCGAGGGGCTGCTGCGGCTGTACGGCATGAGGTTCTGCCCCTTCGCGCAGAGGACGCGCCTGGTTCTCCGCGCCAAGGGCATCAGGTGAGCTCTGCGCGGCCCCTGCACCCCACGGGGCGGGGGCGGCCCAACCTTCTCTCCTAAATGGCTCTTGGTTAAAACAGTCCTGGAAGAACTGATTGAAAAGAGGTCTCTGTGAGTGGTTTTGCTCTAAAGCTTTTTTGGGGGAAGGGGGAGAGGGCTGTTCTGAAGCACATGTATGAAATTAACTATGTAAAGGCCCAAAGTAAACTACAGAATAGGCTGAGTTGGAAGGGACCCACAAGGGTCAAGTCCAACTCTTAGCCCTGCACAGGACATCCCTAAAAGGCACACCCTGTGCCTGCAAGCATTGCCCAAATCCATAGGGAAATTGCCCAAATCCATAGGGAAATTGCCCAAATCCATAGGGAAAAACCCCAAGCCGATTTTTTTTTTTTCTTCTCGCTGAGTAAACATCCCGAATGTTTAGAGTAATAGTTTTGGAGCTTATCCTGGGTAAATGTGATTAGAGACATAACATACGCTTTTGTTTGTTTTTGATGAGAGCAGCAGTGAAAGTTCTGGGAGCTACGAATATTCAGTATTTCTGTTGTGTTACTGCCCAGCAAAACACAATAGTTAGTGAGTGGCCTTTTTGAAAGAGGAAATACACTGTGTTCTATAACATGGTTGCATTCCTGTGCTGTAGTGAGTTAATGGAATTCAGTACTTGTGTTTGTTTCTTTTTCAAGATAGCCATATCATTTCAGTGTTCTTAAATGGGGTCCAATGTTTCCCTCAGTCTACAACTTAAAAGTAACAGGTTTTTACATCTTTTTCTGATTCTGCCAAGTTGCAGGCCTGCCAGTGGTTGTTAACCAATGTAGGTCTGGGAGTTCATGTAACGTAGGGAATGCTTACCATTCAGTAATCCTGACAGCAAGGTGAGAGTTGAGTTCGTTTTATTTTTTCCATGGGTCTTTTTTTTGAAAGAGTAGATGCAGTAAAACTTCCAGGTCAGTATAATTCTGTCTTTATTTAGTGCTGGGAGGTTTGTTGTAGTGATTCTGGAAGTGATTTATGGCTAGATGTCGTAGTTGCCTTCTGGTAACCTTTCAGTGGTTTTGAAGGTTCAGCTGTGTTTAGCAGACCTTTGGGTTTACTGGGAATTTTGTGGGGTCACACATGTAGCACAGCATTTAACCTATGGTTTGTTAATCTTTTTTTATCAGTATCTTTTTGCCTTTACCCTAAACACCTGTTTTAGGTTGGGAAGATAAGTAGGTAGGATGCTCTCTTGATTTGCTCTTTGGTTTAAGGGCAGGTTAAAGTTCAACTGCATTTCTTAATTGAGGTGTATCTTATTGGCAATAAAGTGTTACTTTTTTAGAATGCCCTTGAACCCACATGTGATAAGTGTGCTGAGTTCTGACTTTTTTTTTAGCATGACAATAAGGGCTGCCTCTGTTGTGTGCTTGCAGACTGTGCATGTCTTTTATTAGTTCAACAAACAACTCATTTTAAGTCAGTCCTGACTTTCTCCAGCAAAGTATGGCAGTATTTCTGTATCAAAGGATTAGTCCTGCAAAAGACTTCAGGGAAAATGGGGGGAGTGCAGGGGAATGAGGATTCAGCCTCTCAATACTGAACTTTTGAGGTGTAATGGCTTGTGTTTCACCACGGTATGGAGTGGACTGTAGCAGAACCGAGCCTGTCTGAGTCTTGTTTGTTTTGCTGTTTTAGCCATGAAGTAGTCAACATCAATCTGAAGAACAAACCTGACTGGTTCTTTGAGAAGAACCCCTCTGGGCTGGTCCCTGTTCTGGAGACCAGCAAGGGCCAGCTGATCTGGGAGTCCCCAATCACTTGTGAATATTTGGATGAGGCATTTCCAGAGAAGAAGCTGATGCCTTCAGACCCATATGAGCGAGCCCGTCAGAAGATGATCTTGGAAGACTTCTCAAAGGTAGTGCCTGATCAGTGTAGGATTATGGTTTTTTCTTTACCATCTCACCAAAAACTGCAGCTCTGTTGCTGAGACTGCTACCATCTTTTGAGGCAGGTCTTGTGTCTGGGAAAACCATTTAAATAACTGAAGGGGGTATGTAGGGTCTCTTCATGTGAGCACATACAAACCACTGTGTCTCTGAATTGCTCCCAGCACTTGAGTGGGGATGGATGCAGGAAGAGGTAGGATTTTGAACATCGTACAATAGAGCAGAGGTTAGTAGAGTAGAGGTTAGAAACCAGCTGAATACTTGAGACCTAGGCAGTGACAATTGCTGTAACCCAAGTATTTGTGTTGGAAGTACTGTGTGAATGCAGAATGTGAGGAGTGCCTGATGGAGAGGGCCTACAATCATGGACAAGAGATGGTATGTGGCTGTTGACGTGTATAAGGAGGCTGGGTTTGGCTCTCATTTTGGTTTGGAGGTGGTTGACTGCAGTTAACCTCTCTGTACAAGCATATCCTTTGAGGAGTCTAGGAAGTGAAAGAAGTCAGCTTGGATACGAGACAGGAGAGGAAGCAACAAAAGATGCAAAGAGGTGTGGACAAAGAAGGGGGATAGAAGGGAGGATATATTTGCAATAGGCCTTTCTGAATAGACCTGGTGGGACGAGGGTTACAGGGAATCATGTTGCAAGAAAGAAAATGTGCAGATGGGAAACGTACCCTTCTTTTCACTGTTCTCTTCTTATTACAATACTAAAATTCATTACTATTTGTATTAATTTTTCCTGTAAGCCTTTACTTACCTTTTCTGAAGTATAGAAGCTTTTTATTAATGGACTTTATTTAGCTCTTTAAAGTCAAATCTTTAAAATTTAACTTGCATTTAATATCTTAACATCTAAGTTAACATTTTAAGTTCTGAGTGACTGAATTGTATTATTGTAATAGGAACATTACAAACTTCATACTTTCCTTTTATAGATAACACCCTTACTTTTCAAGCATGTTTTGGCAGTCAAAGATGGACAAGACACCACAGCACTGAAAGCAGAGATTGCTGAAAAGTTTGGCAAATTCGAAGAGGTAAGAGTGTTTCATGATAATGAGTAGGTTGTCAGCCTTTGTGTGATCTCTTTTTTCCTTTCATGCTGTGGCCTTTGGAGATAGAGCTCTTCTCATTTAGTTGGTAGCTACAACAAGGAACAATCTTTCTGGAGTTTACTACTCCCAGCCTAGAATGCACAACTAGCACCATTAGAGTAAATGTCAAGTAGCTAAACTAAACTTTATCTGATGAGGAAGACTGTGTGCACTTGTGGAGATTTTTGAATTCTAGCTGATTGCTGTTGCCTTGGCTGTCTTTGTTCTGCTTTAAACGTAAGGACACCTTGCAGGATGTACTAAGAGCAAGGGCTGAGGAGCTTGAGCTGCTGAAGAGCATCTGTTTTGTAGCTCTGCTGAAATCAGTGCAGACATGCTGGTGATGGTATAAAGTCTTTTTCATTTGACAGATTACCTTTGGGGGTGGGGGGTAGGGAAGAAGCAGAATGTAATCTGTGCCTTGTAGAAATCCAGCCCTGGACCATGTTCTGCCACTCGAGGTGTAATGCAACTTCAGCAGAGCTCCAGCAGGTGTCAGGTGGCTTTGGTGCTGTATTAATCACTTGACAGTCCATGTCAGTAGTGGTTCTTGGCTAGTCTGAACAGCTGTTGGACTTGCCTTTGTCATGAACCCATTCCTTCTGCTTCTTTAGCAGCTACAACTAATGCCTGTCTGGATCAATTAAGAAGAGTTCACAGAGTCATAGAACGTGCTGAGTCATTCTCAGGGTAGTCTTGTTTGTCTGATCAGCCTAAGCTTGGAGTAGTGCAGATGACAAATGAGTTCTTGAGGGAAGTCATGTGTGTTTCACTTTCCTTAATGTTTAATAGAGTTGTATTTCAGGGAAGATTAATCTTCCCTTTTGATCAATGCAGTGAAATGCTTGCTGTTCCTTCAGTGTCTCTATTTTACTATGCCCTAAAGGATTTTGCAGCAGCAGCTGACAGTCAGCTGAGGATGGGAGGCAGGAACAGAGCCGTGCAAACTTCCCTCAGCCTATTGCAAGTGATATTCCAGAGGGGAAATGTTTCTAAACAGTTCTGTATTTCGATTTCTGCTGCCCAACAGAGGGGGCTGTACTCCCATCTCTGCACCTGTGTAGTGTGGCTCGTTGTGCTTTGCTAGACACCTGGAAGCTCAAACAGCTCGATGCTTCCTGAAGGGCTGCTGTGACATTTCTACTACATCATGGGGGTTAAGGCACAGGGAATAAATGCCATACAAGTATAGAATAGTGGTGAGTGTCCAAAAAGACAAAGATTTTTAAGGTCTCTTGAGTTCCACCTTTAAAATGCCTGAAAACAGAAGGACTAGTCTAATGAAAGAGGAGACCAAGCTCTGGAGGGTCCTTAAAGCATGTTAAACTTGGATGACCATGGCACTTAAAAATGCATTGGAACTGCCAATGTAATGGGAGAACTTGCTGGATTCTTTGTGGCCCTGCTTTCTATGCTGAGCTGTGAGGATCTCTTTCTGGTGTAACTTACACTTGCTTCCTGTTCCCTTTGCACCTGGAATGAAATGCACTTCAATATGTAATGTTAGAAATGTTTCCCTAACACCACTTGGCCTCAACTGCCATGGGAAAAGAGTCCCTTCTAAAATAGTACTCTTACTTACCTGGATGTTAAATTTAGCTGGATTTATTGCTCAAGAAATGCATGTGTGTTATGTTTGATTAGTCTGTGCCATTAATGACTTTTGAAAAGTAAGAAATCACAAACTGACAGATTCTGAGAGCTAAGTTCCTCTGTGCACATGCTGCAGATTGCTAGTGATTCATATTTTGTGACAGTTTTTGAATCCATGGAAAAGAGTTGGACTGACAGTTTGTGAAATAGCAGCCGTAGTATTAAGCTTAACTGTACTCTGCCAATATTGCATGCACAAGAGAAATACAGTGTATCCTTTATTTGCTGTCTGATTCCTACAGTCTCCCTGCATCCCCCTATGAAGTGGGCTTTTTGATATTGTTCTGTTGTACTTTTTCTTCTTGGACAGTTGACATTTCTGGTCTTTCACAGATTCTGTCCAAACGCAACACTGTGTTTTTTGGTGGGAACTCCATCTCTATGCTTGACTACATGATCTGGCCGTGGTTTGAACGCCTGGAAGCATTCCAGCTGAAAGAGTGAGTACCTTGCCTAGTTTCTAGTGAGTTCTGAAGCGCCTCAGTATACATAGTCTTTGCATAACATGCAGCAATGAGACACTCATGGGGGCTGTTGAAGAGGGCTTGTATTATGCTGCAGTTAAGGGGAAGCATCTTACAAAAAAAAAGATGAGTTGTTCAAGGATCTTCTATAAATAGGCTTTCTTTCACCAGCTGTGCTTTCCTACCAAATAATTGTGACAGACCTGGAAGAAGTGGTTGAAATACAAGACTTTATCTCCATCCCTAGTATCATAAATGAAAATAGTCTTTATTTGAAGGAGATGGAGATATGGCAGCCTAAGTACAAATTTCTTTATCCAAAACCTCAGACTATGCACGAGGTGGGTTTTTTTTGTTGTTGATAGTTTGTTTTTAATATCTGTGGGTGTGTGGATTTAATCTGTTAGTCAGATCCTCAATTTCTTCAATAGACTGTCTGTTTTGAGCTGCTGGGTTGCAGGGTTGTACAAACTGCACAGCTTTTCTTGGTATTCAAGAAGGCTCAGAGGTTCATGGGTTGTGGGGGAGAATTCAACCACTGCACACAGCATTTGCCTCAAGAGGCATTGTGAACAAAGCATTCCAGAGGGAGGCAGTGGAGCACAAGCCTCTGCCCTCAGCTCAGGGCAGATGATAAATAAGAGCTGTGTGTTTTGCAGCAGGGATAACAGGAAGCAAAAACATGGTGATACCTTGCACAATAAGTGCTCTATTGTGTTTTTGCTGGGCTTTGCAGAGCCCACAAACTCCATAAGAACTCTCGCACATTCCAAATGCTAGTTTGTCTTCTATGGCCTGATATTTATTCCTGTCACCTGCTCTAAGCTGAACATTGTACTGGGAGGGAGAAAGTAGTAAAATGGAATTGTTGAAGCTGTTTTCCTTCCTTGATGCCCTCCAAATTTTCCATTTATGTAACTCAGTCTCTTCCCTTTTCCTGTAGCACTTTGAATCACGCACCAAAGCTCCAACGCTGGATGGAGGCCATGAAGGAGGACCCTGCTGTCAAGGCTACAATGACTGACACACAGACATTCAAAAACTACCTCCAGCTGTATTTGGTGAACAGCCCTGAGGCATGTGATTATGGGCTCTGAGGTGCCAGTAGGCATGAGCTTGCTGAAGTGTCAGTGCTGTTTTTCAGTGTGGGGACTTAGTGTAATTTGATGTGGGCTCTTCTGTGGTTGCGTTTCATGATTGGGAATAAATCTGTGCTGAAAAGCTGAGAAACCTGCTGTGAACTCCACTTCTTCCTGTCATGAGAAGGATGTGCTGGCTTGAAGCAGGAGATGGAAAGTCATTGCCAGCCATATATATTGCATAAGGGAAGATGTTGTTACTCAGAGGTGGTGGTCTGTAATCTCTGGCCTCTTTGTAGGCATTGCTGGTGGGCAGTCCCTGAACTGATGCTGTTCCGTGATTTAAAAATCGTAATACTGGTGTCCTGAAAATGAATAAAAAGCAAACAATGTCTTTAAAGAGTTTTTCCTTCCACTTTCTGGGCAGCTGTTAGTCACTGGTCCTGCAGAGAGAGAGGAGCAGTGCACTGTAAAGGCTAAAACAGTTAGTGTGGCTTGTGAAGTTAAGATGTTACTTAGTACAAACTGTCTCTTTAGACAGAGCTACTGCCAAACCACTGACCTCGCAGCCCTGTTCACTTATCCCTGCTAAAGTCATGTTCACAGGGACCATCTAATAAAATTCCAGTTAGGGGTAGATATGCTAAGGGAGAGTGTATGGTTGTAATCCTTCTCTGTCCTTCTGAAGTTGGGTAATGTTTATTCTAGGTTCTAATCTAAGGGCTGGAGTAGGGAGTAAAGCCAACAGAAACCATATCCTGAGCAGAAGGACATTTATTTTTTGTTCTGCTCCAGAACTCAAAGCATTGCTGTATTTGCCAAGGTGTAGATGAAATCAGAGAACAGAAGTGGAAGGCGTTCAGTCAGAGCATTATGTACTGGTGGAGTCTTGCTGCTTGATGAGGAAATGAATACATTCTGTTCCATCAGGTAAATTGCAGGATCAGAGCTTTTCAGTTGAACATCTTTTGAAGGTATCCTCTGTACTAACATAGCTGTGTGGGGACAAGATTGTTTGAATCACAAGTAATCACAGGAAAAACTTCTGTTCCTTTTTTTTCCTTTTATCCTTTTTTCCTGCCCACATAGGGGATTAAAAGATCTATTATGCCTTCTGATGTTGCTCAGTTGTGTATGTCCGTCAGACTACTAGCAACCCAAACTAGCCAAAATTCCAGAGAATAAGCATGCAGATAGATATAAGGCAAAGCAGCGTGTCCAGGGGCAGGGCTGTGGTTCCTGTGGTGCTGAGATACCCAAGACTGCTGCTCCTGTCTGTCTCCCATTGCAGTGAGGTAAGGCAGCATAACAGAAGCTAGTGGTTCATGGATTTCATGGTAATTGAGGCACTGGGAGTCTTGGAGCTTTTCTGGAGAAAAGGTGGACTAATCTTTTTTTTACCATTAACATGTTCTAGCCCAGCACACTAAGGAGGTGCATGCTTGTGTAACTTCAAGTAGGAAAGCAGATATGAAAGGCAGATTTGATTAGGTAAAAGAATCAGTAGGAGCTTGGTTTGTCAGCCTGCAGCTATTGGAGGGGCTTGTTTATGCTCTTATTAGCTTTAATTCAAACTGTGACTTTTTCTCTCCTGTTTACCTTTGTGACTTCTAAGCACATCTGGCACTACTTAGAGAAATAATTATCACTCTGCTATTCCTTCCAGAATGCCAATGTCTTCTAAAAAGTTTCCCAGTCGGAATGTGATGGTATTACGTGTTCTGTAGATTGTCATTAGAGAACCCAGAGGAAGCATAAAGCTGTGAAGTGTGTTGTCAGGATGTGGATCTGGGCCTTTTCATTAGATGAAAGCAGGGTCTGAGCTGTATAAAACCACTGTCTCTGAAGTAGTGGTGGTGGGATCTCAGTGGCAAACTTCCAAGGATTAACTGCAGAACATTTTGGTTTTATTAGCTGCTCTGCTTTGTGTAGGGCTTAAGAGCTGTTAGTTTTGTGCTAGAAATATGTAACAGTTTGCTCCAGTGTGTTATTGGACTAGCGGGAGATGTGACATTAGGGAGATCCAATAATAGGTTAAGAGCAGAGACTGGCATCCAAAAACTGAACTGACCAGGGCCAGACCATGGTAACCCAGAGACTGTGTTGTCCAAACAGAAAGATGTGCTCTTCCCATCTTTATTTAGTGGCTAAAGGGTACCATTATAAATGTGCTACCTCAGCAAAAAAAGTTAAAATGAAATATTCTGCCTTATAATTTGCTATTAAATATCTGTGTTCTAAACCCTCAGGCAGACAGCTGGGGTCTTGAACTCATTACAGCACAGCAAGAAATGCAGGCCTCAGGCAAAGTGTTTTTAATGTGGTAATGAATATGCAACGGTTTGGCCCAGTTTTCAAAGGAAAACACAAGTTATGTGGAATGGACTGGCTCTCTCCTTTCAGTGGATGGGTGTAAAGGAGACACTGTATTAATTTGAAGAGGCCAAGAAAAAACAAAAATCTTCAGTTTTGGTCAACAGAAGAGAAAGATGGAAGTCAATAAGGGAAGGGTCAAGCAGATGAACAGCTGTGCCCTTTGCTCAGACCTCTCCTTAAAATCTTCTGTGGATCAGATTATACAGCAAGTACAGTCTTTACTCACCATCTACTCCATATTTTGCCCTTAAAAATTTTTACTGGTGCTATTGCTTTGGAAAAGAGTTTTGGTTTTGTTTGGTTGGGGGTTTTTGTTTGGTTTTGTCGGGTTTTTGTTTATTTGTTTTTTGTTCCCTGTTATTGAGTCACCAAATATAACTGCTCTCAGCACAGGTTAAAGGAGATAAATTCACTGTCAAGCAAAAAAGGACAGAGTTTGTCTTGTAAAAATAGTGAGTTTAGTACCATGATGGATAATAGATACTTCAGATTAGCAAGGCATTGAGCCTTGTTCTGTTCTGCATTTATAACATCTCTGTATCTTTACTGATGCCCCTGAGATGGTTTTTGATACTGTAATGGAAGACATGATCCAGCCTTTCTTTTTTCATTATAATTTTAGGAGCCCTTATACTGAAGCTGAGAGCAAGATAGAAGGCAACCAAGATGAAGGGAGGGAGGAATGGGGATCCCAGGCTCTCAAATCTGGGAAGTTTTGCAGTTTTGGGTAAGCTGAGTGGGGACTTGGGTGAATAGGACTGTGGCTATGCCAGAAGGCTCTTGCTTGGGGAAATTGTTGAGAAGCTTCTGTCTAGGGAGGTGTTAGAAACCTCTGTGGTTCTTGTACTTAAAGTGGTAGTAAGTGGAGATGGTGGTTGGAAACATCTCAAATGTCACATACTAGGGACACCTGAAGCACTTGTGTGAATTCTATACAGATGCCTGTAGATTTGTTGCTTTTTCTAATCAATTAAAAAGGAAGAGAAAAGGAAATCTCAGCTTCTTGCCGTGCCTCCTTTGACAGCTGTCTGTCCAGCTCACCAGAGGTGCCTGGCTGTGTGTGAGCACATGCGTTGGGCATGTGGTGTTGGCACAGTGTTAGATGTCCTGGGCCCGCTCTCCCAAGTTTTCCTCTGTCATGGCATCTGTAATGTTTCCCCTGCATTAGCATGTTTGGAGAACTGT